ATCTCCACACAGATTAAAAGAAAACTGAAGGCAACAGAAATGTGGTTCTACAGAAGGATGCTGAGAATATCGTGGATAGTGTGTGTAAGCAACAGAGAAACCTTCAGGAAAATGTAAACAAAATGTATATTATAACCAGAAACAGAAAGTGACAGCTGAAATTATATAGTTCCAATTTCAGTCAGTTAAGCTTAGATACACGCATTGGCAATCATGTCCCCTTGATTCATGACAGAAGATATTCCCTCAGTAGGCTGCCATTTCTTTCTGTGGTAATCTAATTGCCACCCAAGGCTAGAGAACGTAGGATGTCCTACTATTTAAACCATAGCTGGGGGGATAAGAGTTTGATTCATACCTTTCCAAATTTGACAGAATTTTAATTTTCTAATTTCAATGATTCCCAATCTTTTCTCAAACAATGTATGTTATTCTTTTATATTGTCTTATTTTTAATTTTTCTTTCTTTTTTTAGTTGAAGTAATGACACCAATGAGAACATAATCTACGCTTGTCTAGACAAAAATTAAAAGAAAAGAGAAAATAAAAATATAAATTACTGCAGAAAACATCACAAGATAAAAGGTGAAGAAAATCAGTAAGAGACTTAATCGGTTCAAAAATTAACACGTGAGGTTCTGGTGTGGTCTTGACTGAATATGATGAAATAAGACTTTGGATGATGCTAATGACGAGATGGAATAGATGGAATTCACTTTTTATGACCAAGCCAGAAACCTTGTCCAGTAATGGTGGTGGTGGGGGGGATAGGTCGCCATTAGCACCTTTCTTTTTGTCCCTGTTTCAGATTCTTCAAATGAAAAATGCCTAATATTCACTCTCTGGAAAGGTGTCAAGTAAACTCCCAGTCAGTTTCAGTCAGTTAGTTATGTGCCATGCCTTTTATTTTAGTTTTGATTATAGTGGTGAACAATTTGTGCTGAACCGACCACATTTTTTGAAAGGCCGAATACAGAGACCGTGTTCACTATGAGTCACAAGGTCCCCAAACGACCCTCCGCAGGTTTTGAATTTAGAGTTGTCTTCCTAGATCAGTTGCCATCTAAATTTATAGAACCCAGTGTGTCTTGCTATTGACCCATAGGTGGAGGGTATAAGCATGTAAGCGAATGTAATGGATTCAACTGGAATTTGAACTCAGCTCTTTGATGCCTCAGTCCAAGAAGCTATCCATTATTCCACCAATGCCTCCAGTCAGTTTACCATGTGAGCAATAAGAAAGTCTTAGAGAAACAAAAAGGATGCTTATTCTTTGAACTAGAAAGAAAATTGAAATTTCTAGGGCACATAATGAAGAAAGAGAGCTTGGATTATTTGACTCTCACGGGACGGCAAGAGGGACAAAGGAAAGCAGTGAGTAACTTAGCTAACAAGCTTGTGTAAATGTTTGGCAGAACAGGGTTAAGGAGAGATAGCAAAATGACAAGAGCTACAAAGAACAGGAAGCTGTAGAAGAATATGACTGCCCACGTCCTGAAGAGGCAAGGCATGTGGAAGAAGAAGAACACTAACACCAGTTTCCCACTGTGTCTCTCTCAAGGATTTTGACTTGATTCACCAAACTGTATATTTATGATGCCACTCAACTGCCAACTATATATTCACCCTGGCCCACAACCAAATAGAAGGAGGAGGTAAAACCACAATAGTAGAGAGAGTAGAATCATTCAACTATCCAAGAATTTCTTAATAATTTCTAGCCAAGGGAATTTGCTGTTGATTGCAGGCAGTAAATGAGTTTCAAGCACTGAGTCAAGAGAATTTATTATTTTAGCTGATTTAAAGATGTGTTTGTGAATTTTTGCAAACTATCTGTGGATTAATTCCTTCCCTATTTCCTCGCTTGTCATTAGATAAGCTTTTAATCCACCAGAGTTAATCCACTTGAAGATTCTATTTGATTGGTTGAATTTATGAGGTTGAATCTCCAATCAGAGTGGAGGCAAAAACAAAATATGCAATGTGTCAATGGCTGATTGACGTGCCAGTCTGGCAATCTCTAACAACATATTCTTGCTTCTATTTCTTTGTCGCTTACATTTATTTTTATGTTTTTATGAAAATTGGGATGCATCTCAAATGAGGAAAATTAATATTAAATACCATGAGGCAAATCAAACTAGAACAACACTTTAAATATCTAAGAAGAAAAGAGGATGGAAAGTATGACACTAAAATCTGAAGCTGCATTAGGATAACCAAAGTTGCCTTCCAAAAGCATAGCAAAGTATTAAGAAACAGAAAAATTTCATTAGAAGCAAAGCAAAGAGTACTGAACTGTTATGCAATATCAGTCTACCTACAGTGATGTTCAAAAGTAAGTGAACCCTAAGATAATATTTTTTAAAAGTTATCTCTTTTTTCCAGATGATCAACAAAACTTAATTAAACTATATATTCATGAAAAAAACCCTTATTAAATCAATTACAGCCACTTTCAAAATGTGAAAAACAAGTGAACCCTTACATTTAATATTTGGTGACTGCTTCTTTTGAGGTTACAATGTCAACAAATCTTTTTTTTATAATTTTTAAGAAGTTTCTTGCAATAGTGTGTGCCGATTTTTGACCATTCTTCTTGGCAAAATTCCCACAGTTGCTTGATTTTACCTATGTTTCTTGCATACACTACCTTCTTTCACTTGAATCACAGATTTTCAATTGGGTTTAGATCAGGACTTTGAGTAGGCCATTCCAAAAATTTGAAATTTCTTTTTATGAACCCATTCTTTTGTGGATTTGCATTGATGCTTCAGATCATTGTCCAATTGGAAGTTCCAGCCTTGACCTAAACCCAACTTTTGAACTGAGGAAAAGACACTTTCATTTAAAATTGCTTGGTATCTTGCAGTGTCCATTGTATCATCAATAGGTACTATTTTCCCTGTTCCAGCTGCAGCAAAACACCCCAAATCATAATGCAGTCACTATCAAATTCTCTTCAAAAACCATATTAGGAAGCTATTTTTCCTTCCAAAAATCTCTAGTTTGGTCTCATCTGACCATAAAACATTTGCCAGAATGTTTCTATCTTATTTATATGACCTTTGGCATAGTTGAGGTGAGTATGCTTGTGATATTTCATCAGCAGTGGCTTTTTTTTAGGTATTCTGCCATGAAGATTGGCATTGTTCAGATTTTGTCACACTGTAGATGTATGCACATTGATTCCAACATTGGGTAGTGAGCATTGGAGAACATCAAAGATCATGACAGGATTTGCCTGGTCTTGCCAAACAAGATGTCTACTTGCTCTTGCTGCTATTTTTCACAGACAACAACTTTTTGATTGTGATACCATCATACCAAAGGTCTTTCATTTATAAATAATTTGTTGCATGGTGGAGAAGTGCACTCCAAAATTTTTTCATAGTTTTTGTAGCCTTCTCCATCATTATAAGTTTCAGCTATGCAAATTTTAAAGCTTCAAGAAGTTCTTTTGATGTTTGCATGTACATACTTTTTTTAAAATTTAGTCTCTAACTGCACACTTTTGCATACACAATGATTTATATTTTTTGACTGCAATTTACACAGCTTACCAAAAAAAGAAAATGTGTCTTTTTGATTTTACACATGCTCCAAAAATTATTTGCATTGGCAACCATGTAAAACAAAAACACGGAATATATAGATGTAAGGGTTCACTTACTTTTTCTTAATTTTTTAATTTTGAATTAATATTTTTATTCCAACTTGATAAAAATCTTTGAAATTGAAGGAAAGTTTTTCTTTACCTTAATTAAAGTATATATTCATTAAGAATTATGAAATTTAATTATACCTTAATTAAGATTTGTTGATCATCTAGAAAAAAGAGATAATTATTTTAAATATTATCTTGGGAGTTCATTTACCTTTTCCCAGCACTGTATATGGTAGTGAATGCTGGAAATTTCTCTTCACAGATGAAGAAAATACCAGAAGCAACAGAATTGTGGTTCTACAAAAAGATACTGAGAATACCATTGACTGGTTTTATAGAGAAAATGGAAACAAAAAGGACACTCATACAACTATTTCTAGGGCACATAATTAAGAGGCCTTGGAAAATTTGACACTATGTCATAATCTGCCCTTAATTTGTTACAGGACACATTAAGATCAGGAGGAAAACAACATGGAGTCTTCCTAGGGAGATTGAGTAAACAGATGTTGGAAGTTTAGGAAAGATAACAAAAAGATAATGTTTATTAAGAGCTAAAAAAAGACAAGGGACATGGCATATAGAAAAGACGGCAGCTGTGAATAATCCTTTTAAGCTATATTTTCTCTTGAAGAATATGTTGCAGTAAGAGATCAATATAATAGATGAGTGCTTTGAGAAAACATTCAAAATTGATATCTGATTTTTAATTACTAAAGTTTTTATACCTGAATAGAAAAATAATACATATATAAGTGTACACCTGTATGACATTCCATTATTATATTTATTTTATGTCATTTCTTGGGATTGGTGCCATAAAAGATAATATGCAAGTATTTTCAATAATGAGTTTATGTGGATGTGCTCACAGCAGGCACTCAAATTACCAAAATGCAGTCAGCACACAGCAGGCTCTATATTGAAGTATATATTAAATCATGATTTAACATACAATATTTTTCAATTTATCACAACTGTTCTTGAAGTTCTTGCTTTTAATCACCTTTCAAGCAAAATCAATCATTTTACCAATGGAAATCCAATTGGGCAAGGCAATTAAACATGGGTATAAAAATCCACTCAATAGATGATTGGTATATTAGTATTTCTTTTTCTCATATGCATACAAGTGAGTACTTATATGAGTACTTATAGTTCCTCTATTTTCCTATGCTCTATTACTCATATACACACACATGCACATACATTTAACACAAAGAAAATAACATGTTCAATTTCACTTTAAAATCTGTCCACTCAACATCAAATTAAAAACTTGGTTGCACACTGAAATTTAATTACCTTTTAAAATATATTGCTGATTATATATTTATTGATAGATAGATAGATAGATAAATAGATAGATAGATAGATAGATAAACAGAAAGGAAGGAATAGATAGATAGCTGAAATCAATTTGAAAGATCTGCTGATATGAGTAGAATGAGATATACAAATAGATAATTCGTTATTTTTTGCTTTTTTTTGTTAGAAATGAAAATGTTTTGAATGTTAAGATGAAAAAATCTTAAGAAAAAGTCAATTATCTTTAATTTACAACAAACAATTAAAGACACCCCCTGTTTTCTCATTTAAGTTATAATATTCTTGCTCATTTCTGTTGTTTATAGCAGTGCTTGGGAGGAAAGTGTGCAGAATGTGGTCATCTCACCACACCACAGAGATACCATCAGGGACCATGGCTTGTGCAGCAGTTTTTGGCCAAGACAACATTCCCCAGGTCTGACAACCACCGTATTTTCCCAGAATCCCTTGCAACATTTTCCTCTTCAAAAATCAAATCCCACTTGAAAGGAATAAGATTTCAAGGTGTTAAAGTTTTTTAAGAGAATGCAACAAAGCAGCTGCTCACTATCCCAAAATATGGAACTCCTGGAATGCTTGCAATAATGGAAATGATGCTAGATAAATTATATGGCTACAAACAGGGACTACTTCAAAGGAGATTAAATGCTGAATTGATATATGTTATAGTTTTCTTTTTATAGCACCAGTCCCAATACTTTTTGATGAGACCTTGTATAAAAGCACTTTTAACATATTTTTTGCCTCTTTGTTCATTTTTCATTAGCAGTCATACAAAACATCTTTTTCTATGTGCCATGTCCCTTAAGACATTTACTATCATGACTCTCCACAACTTCCTGTCTTTTGCTATCTCTATTAAACCCTGTTCTGTCATCCATTTACACAAGCTCGCTAGGTATGTTATGAATTTTTTTCCTTCTATTCCTCTTTGCCTTGAAGTGGTCTATGGTATTCTCAGCATCCTTCTGTAGAATCATATTTCTGTTGTTTCAAGTTTCTTCTCCATCTTTGAGGAGATTGTCCTATACTAACTGACATAGAGGAGGAGCAATATTGCATAACAGTCTGGTACTCTTTTCATTGGTTCTAATGAAATATTTATGTTTCTTAATATTTTGTTTAGTTTTTAGAAAGCATTTTTCACTCTCCAATACACCTTTGGTTTTCAGTTTCATACTTTCCATCTTCGGATAAAACAGTTTCCAAAAGTAAATAGCCTATTTTGATTGGAACATCTGACCTAAAAATATGCCATCAAGTGATATATCCATTAAAACACTGCCTGGATGCTTAAATATCATGTGAAATTTACTTGGAAATATTAAGTTGTCATTTAAATGCATTTGCAATTATTTGAATTGGGGTTCTATCAACAAAGACTACAGACAAAATATATCAGAAATGAAACAAAGTTGTTTAAAGAGACTAAAATCAGTAAAGAAATCTTTTGAATAATCAGAAAGAGACAACCAAATTTTTGAGACTCATAATGAGGAAAGAAAGTCTGGAGAATTTAATACTCACTAGGTGTATTAAAGGCAAGAGAAGCAAAGTAAAAGCAGAAAATAACCTACTTGATCTGTTTGAGCAAATGGATGAGAGAACAAGGACAAGAAATCGAAGTAAAGAAGCAAGAAATACTTAGAGCAAAACAATAAATTGATGGAGAGCCTTGAACATCCATGTCTTGAAAGAACATGGTACAGAGAGAGAGAGAGAGAGGAGAGAGAAAGAGAGAGGAGAGAGAGAGAGGAGAGAGAAAGAGAGGGGGAGAGGGGGAGAGAGAGAAAGAGAGAAAGGGAGAGAGAGGGGGATAGAAAGAGAGGGGAGAGAGAAAGAGAGAAAGGAGAGGGGGGGAGAGGGGAGAGAAAGAGGGGAGAGAGAAAGAGGAGGGGAGAGAGAGAAAGGGAGAGAGAGGAGAAGAGAGGGAGAGAAAGAGAGAGGGGAGAGAGAGAGGGAGAGAGAGGAGAGAGAAAGAGAGAGGAGAGAGAAAGAGAGAGAGAGGGAGAGAGAGAGGGGAGAGAGAGAAAGAGAGAGAGAGAGGGGAGATAGAGAGAAAGAGAGAGAGAGGGAGAGATAGAGAGGGAGAGAGAGAATTATATGAATTAGTTTTTTTTTCAAATGATATTGATGCATTAAACTAATTTAAAACCTTGAAAACTAAATTAAAAATTTTTCTTTTAATTTTTATGACATTTTAATAACAACACAGTCGTCACCTTAAAGTTTATCACCACCTCTTTGATTATTTTTAAACTAATAATTAATTTCATTCTTAATAGTGGAGGGTCTTTCAAAGAAGTAAAATAAAGTGCAAAAATTATCATACCATGACATTTTATTTTTTTACGTGTAATGAATTAATGGGATATTAAATGGATAAAAGAAACATTCAAATTGACATTTATATTTTGGATTTGTTACCACAATCTTTAAAAAACTGCTTTTTATTTTTTTTTTCAAATAATATTGAAATACTTTAAAATATATCACTGCTTCAGTTTTTTTTTCAACTGACACTTTCCAGTAAAAAAATTATAAAATATATTTTCATTAAATTTTTCACTGGACTGGTATCATTTTGATTTTATTTAATTTTTTATTAACAGGGGAGTCAATTTAATTAGTTCTATATAATTTTTTAAATAATATTGGTGCTTTAAATTGCTTTAAGACTATGGATTTGCATACAGAAAATTTGAATGAAAGAGACAATTCATTGGCAAGAGAAGAAATGTCCAAATTGGGTGACCAAAAGCTAACAGCCATAATTTCAAAGTACAAAAGTCCCCACTAAATAGTTGCATTTCTTTCTACTTGCAAACTTCAACCTCAGTTTGATTTTGGAGGCAAGTTTTAGCAACAATTCAATCTTGGAGTTTTCTATAAAATGGCTAGTCTTGTATAATCTTTTAGCTGACTTTCAGATCAGTCAAGAATTTTCTAGTTTGTTCAAAGAAAATCATAACAGATACAAAAATCTGAAATAAGAAAACACTATAGGACACAGGATTTTTCTTTTATTAGTCTCCACCTGTTTATATTATCTTGCTCTGTTTTTAGCACTGCTTCAGTTATTGCTAGTTTTATTTCTACTGAGACTTTACTACTGAGCACATTGATTAGAACTCTTACAAGTATGTCCCATTATATTCATAAAGCAACACTTTAAACCTCTCACTTGTTGATGCAAGGAATGGGCCTGAAGGCAGAACATGAAACCTTAACCCTATGTTTTTTTTTTATTTGTAATTGCCTGCCTGTTACTGCCATTTTGGCAGCATGTATGCAAAAAAAATCATCAGATTTAAGGTTGCAAGCTCTAGACATGGGCAGCAGAATGAGAAAAATTTACTCATTTCCATAGATTAAATAAAAAGTTCATTTTATGATGTGGTTATAACAATGAAGATAGGTACATTAGATATCAATAATGTAAATAATAATAATTCCTCATGACAGAAATTCAAACAGAAAATGATGAATGTATAAATTTCTGTAATGTAATCGATCCTGACTTGGCATCTTGATTTCAGTCACTTTCTCAAAAGATGTGGCATGGCTTCCCTCTGTCTTTTCTACAAATATTTTCATGGCAACTGCTCTGACAAGCTTTTTTTCCCCTTGTGCTCCAACTACATGAATTTAAGTGTGCCACTAGATTGGCATTTAGGTCCCACCCGTTTATTATTACAACTGCTGAATAGAACTGCCACTTCTACTCCAACAGTTTCTTTTATCACAATTCCTGTTTTTGAAACACCCTTCTCTTCATTTGTTTCCCAGATAACTAGAATCTTCTAAAATTTAAATGCAAAATCATTCACCATCTTATGTCTTCTTGAATTCCATTCATCTTTTGTCGTTTCCTTAATCCTTCCTATACTCGGTCTTTTCTGTCACTTTCACTACCTGTAAACCCTCTGCATACTAGTGGCATTCCCACCTTGCTTGGGGTGAAATGATTAACAAAATTTAAATTCAATGTCAATCACCATTTTCTATCTTCTTGAATCCTGTTCATCTTTTGTCCTTTCCTTAATCCTTTCTATACTCAGTCTTTTCTCTTGTTTTTCATTCCCTGTAGCTGTTCACTAGTGGTATTCCCACTTTGCTTGGTGGGTGGGAAGGATTAAAAAAAATTGATTTCTTAATTGCGGAATGTCTGGATCTGCCTAACAAGCAGTTCTTTCTTTATTCTGCTTCCATCTTTGATCAACCTGTTCTTTATATTTTCTCCATGGTTTGTGATTCTGTTAGCAATCTAATTTGTTCTCTTTGAGTTTACTTTGAGTTTTTAATTGTTTTTACCCCATGCAAAGCAGTAAAGCCACTAAGACTCAAGGGGTTACAGGGTGCAGAAGAATTAGGAAGAGAAACATTAATAATGAGCAGGAAGTGTAATTAGGAGAACAGTAGATAGCAATTAACATTGCATTTAAGTTTTTGAAGATTAAAGTTGGCAGGAAAGCTTGCAGCCGGAAGTGAGAAGTGTGACAAAATAAACTGTTAGCCTAAAACTTGCAGTTACATCTAGCCAGCTTAACCTGGAAATGTAACTTGATTAGATTTTGGCACTAGTTGATAGTTATTTATTTCTGCATCTATAACTATAAATATACAAAGTTACTTATTCTGAAGTTGATGGAAATAATCATTGTGTAAAATCATAAGCAAATTAGATAGACAACTATAAATAGAGAACAACTGGTGAACATTGAGGCTATACAAAGCCGGTTGCTATTCAGGACAAAGAGAACTGTACTATGATTACTACTATACAGAGATATATGCAAAATTGAAACATTAACAAAATAACATGTACTCTTTAATGAAATTTTCATTACTTACAATTATCATTTTTACAGTTAACTTTATTTTCTTATGATCAAAATCATTCCGTTCCCCAATAAGCTCAACACAGATATTATTCTACAAACCCCATAACATCAGGGATATCATATGACGTATTACTGTTTTTAGCCTGAGTGCATATGATATCGCAGTTATTGGAATTGTCTGCCAGTGAGAAATAATATTAAAAGAAAGTTAGGTATTGATTAGAATTTATTTGTTTTTTCATTCTGATTTGAAAATGGAGATGATTTATTTTCTAAATTATAAAATTTTTGAAAAAAGAAGCAGAAGAATTAGCTGCATGGAATTGGAAACAGGAATTAACAGGAGCAAGTACCAGATTTTCTCCTCCTTTCTTATAACTTGTGCTTCTGCTTTTACTCACCTCCAACCCTATAAGCCATCGTTCTCAAACCATATTTCTCATATCTTCTTTCTTGCTTTCATTCTCTTTCTGTATTATTTGTAGCTCTTCAGTTTGTAATACAACACTTGTTATCTCCAAGATTTTCTTGTATTTCTTTCTGGTTTTTTGTTCTTTTAATGTAATATCTCTTTGCCTTAATGGCAGTGAATGCTGGACTGTCTCCTCACAGATGAAGAAAAGGCTTGAAGCAACAGAATTGTGGTTCTACAGAAGGATGCTGAGAATACCATGGAGTGAATATGTGAGCAATGATAAAGTCTTAGAGAAAATAGAAACAAAAAAGACACTTATTCTTCAAACTAGAAAGAGAGAATTGTGATTTCTAGGGCACATAATGAGGAAAGAGGGCTTTGAAAATTTGACACTCATGAGGCCTACTGAAGTCAAGAGGGAAGGCGAAAAACAGTGCATGACATAACTAATGAGCTGGGGGAAATGGCTGGCAGAACAGGGTTTAGGAGAAATAAAAAGACACAATTTATTAAGAGCAACAAATGACAAGAAAGGGAAATTGTAGAGAGCCATGATTACTAACATCGTGAGATGACATAGTAAATAAAAGGTGTATTCTTTGTAAATATTTACACATACCAGCTTGTTTATCTTTTCCACATATTTACTTACATATATTCAGTTTATGAAAGACTATAAGTGCTAAAACAATGTCTATTTTATTTTTACACCAAATGTATCAAGACATTAATACTCATTGGGGATCAGCTGACAACAAATTTCTGCCTACTTCAACCATTATTCCACTTGAATCTATCTAACACATTTCTCAACACATAGAATATGCATTTAAATAAAAAAAAAACACACTTTTCAAATTTTATACTGCATATAATATCTTGGTATTATGAAAAGATGGTCATTTACTGAAACCCAAAATGAACACATATGGAGTTTGGGTAAGGTATAGAAATAAGTAATCACAAAGAAGTTTAGTAAATTATAGTGAGAAGTACTCCCCTTGGAGTTTAGCTAAGTTATAGGGAGAAGTGCTCCACTAGTAATTTAGTTCAGTTATAGTGAGAAGTACTCTCTTAGGAGTCTGGAAAATTTATAGTGAGAAGTACTACCCTGGGAGTTTAGTTAAATTATAGAGAGAAGTATTCACTTAGGAGTTTGGGAAAGTTATAGTGAGAAGTACTACCCTAGGTGTTTAGTTAAGTTTATAGTGGATGACAATATATATGTTCCTGAAAATTTATTTCGGTTGAGCTCTCTGGGGACAAAGTGTGAGTTTGTAAAGAGTGACTATTACTGCTAATAATGCAAGACTCTTTGGTAAAGTGAATCGAGTTCTCTCAGTCACTGCATGTTTATCTAAAAATAAATACTCATAAATTCACCTTCATCACTGCTGTTCTCCAATGGTTTAGGGGTAGAATCTCCAATGGACACAATTCAACAGGCTTTTGATCCTAGCTAGAGGCAACCAGATCTCTAGCCACACTGATGTGCTGTAATACAGTGAAACAATCTGTCTGTGGATGATAATATATATATATATATATATATATATATATATATATATATATATGAATGTAGCAATTTCTCTGTTTATACAATTATAAATGGTCAAGTATGCAGAGCAACTTGCTTATTTAAATTTGGCACCCTAAAGCGATGGTTACTCCAAGGATGGTAGGGATGGACTTATTTGAGAGGGTGGGGCTTAAAGTTTGGTTCTTAACATGCGTAATTTATTTTTTGTTTATTTTTCAGGAGCCCCAGTGAGCATCATGGAGTGGACGAAGTTGGAATGTGCTTTCGCTGTTGAGGCATTTTTTTCAAGCAGTCGCTCAATCGTCGCAACGTGCATTCCGTAGACATTTGAATATTGCCC